TGCCTCCACCATACTACTTCCTAATGCATTCCATTTATTAACCACTCTAACACTAACAAAAATCTTTCTAATGTCTTTATGGCTCATTTGGGCACACAATTTCCACCTGTGTCACCTTGTGCCTGAGTCCCTTGTGTTAAATAAACTGTCTTTGTCTACCCTATCAATTCCCTTGAGAATTTCGTATGTGGAGACCATGTTCCCTCTAACTTTCCAGTCTTCCAGCGACGTGAGGTCCACACACACAAACACGTGTGTGTGTGTGTGTGTGCGCGTGTGTGTGTGTGTGTGTGTGTGTGTGTGTGTGTGTGTGTGTGTGTGTGTGTGTGTGTGTGTGTGTGTGTGTGTGTGTGTGTGTGTGTGTGTGTGTGTGTTTGTCTCTCTCCTACACTCTCCATGACCGTCTTCCCCTCAAATATAAAAAGATAAGAGGTATCAGTGTTGTAAGTGCCAGACGTGCCAATAACTGAGAGAGGACACATTCTCTCGTTCAAACATGACTCTTGACCTCAAATATTTCTGGAAAGCCCTCCACCTCCCCCTCCCGGTAAAGCACGAGGTTATGTTGTCCCATGTTTAAATGCTCAGTCATTTGTTGACAAGGTTTATTTACTCAACTACGTATTTGTTTTTATAATAATATTGTAAGTTCCATTCATCTAAAGAAGTAAGAGTTTGTTGTTTATTATTCACATGTGATTGTCTGGCCTCCCTAGATGCGAGCATTACCGATCCACTAACGACGAACTTAAAAGCATTGCAACCAGAAGTTCAACTGAACTCACATGGCGCTCAGAAGGCCGGTAACTACAGTCTAAGTAATAGATATAATAAATAAATGAATAAATGTTCATTCAGGTAAAAGTACATACATTAAAAATGAGTTACTAACAGAATGATGGATTTCTAGATTCAGCTTGTACACAATATGCCTAAAGCCACTAATACGCACAGCGTTTCGGGCAGGAAGTTTTACATGATACTCGTTTACACTCTGTTTTAGGCAATAATATCCCAAACCTTCCGTCCAGACAATTCTAGCCGAAATCACAATAGCATGATATAGGTTGCCTTTGCCTTTATGTGCCCACTTGGGGACTGTCAACCTCTGCGATCTCAGTGTATAAGCAAGGTCAGAGATATCATGACCAACAATACCGAAATAATCGACAGACATAAAGAAAATATGAAAGAAGATATATTTGAGTTCGTACATATCATTCTCATCCAACTATCAACATCCAGCTTAGTCTTAGCTGGATGTACCTTACATTCTTACACCACATCTACTGCCTCAGCCGACATCGACTATGTAAGCTGTCATTTCACCATCTAAAGCAACAACGACAACATGTGAAACCACAATAGTTAAAGAGCGTCATATCTGTGGAACAGTTGCAGAAATGCCACCATTACATTACTTACTAGAATGTAAAGCAACTGAAGCTGTGCGCATCAAACTCAAAATTCTACCAACAAGAGCAGCTGCATTAAATTAAAAATTCACAGCGAACACAATGGTACAAAAAAAAACAGTTGAAGAATGGGACACATGGTGAACACTGTGCATCTATATCCGCCACCAAGATAATGTTATTTAAACGAAATACTAAAACCAGTGCGAAACAAAGGAAACTCTTTCTTCATTAAAACTTTGACCCAAATATCACAGTAACAAGGTTATCGTGAATAAGCGAACTCAGTTACGAGCTCACTATAGCCCGTGCTACGTGACATTTTGTTCCGAGTAGCTGAATCTAAAACAACGAGAATGTTATGAAATACACAGTGACCCAGAGACACTTCAAGATATTACCCGACCATAGATCACATTCACTCCAAACGTCTACCACCTACGGACTACTTGGAGTAGCCTGCGTAATAGCTGAATCTAAAACAACAACAATCCTCTCCGTTACAGCCCTGCTCTTGTGCCAGGTAAGTCCACTACGGATTCATCATAGCAATGCTACTTGGAACGTTTTGTTCCGAGTAGCTGAATCTAAAACAACAACAACATCCTCTCTGCCCGTACCTTCCGTATCATCAAAAAAACGTTATCATGGTGTCTCCTGTGCCAGGTTATACTGCAGTTACAGCCCCGCTCCGGTATCAGGTAAGTCCACTACGGGCTCACAATGTAACATTCTTGCTACATGGACATTTCGTTCTGAGTAGCTAAATCTAAAACAACATCCTCTCTTCTATCACACGACTTGATAATGGTCCAGGACGGACCAAATGGTCGTAGTTTCTCCATTGGCTGGTCTGTGGTTTGGTCATCAATCTTCAGCCACGTTATTGTAACTCATCATCTGTATGTTAATGATATTTTCATCTGCGTCAAGGACTTTCAAGAGCCTGGAAAAAATCAAGCGATTGCTTACCGATTTCTAAGTACTCCAATTCACACATGAACTTAGTATCAACGGTGCACTCTCATTCGTTGATGTAGACGTCGAGACCAGACACACCACCTTCACCAATGAAGTCTACACGAAACTAATCAAAATTGGTATGTGTCTGTATGGCTTCAGCGAGTGCCCCTACCGATACAAGAGAAGTGTGATGAACTCTTACATACGTAGCGCTCTCACCCACTGTACAAACTGGGAAAAGGTACACAGAGAATATACGAGAAGTCTGTAAGCCCGAGAAAACAATGAATAAACTAACAAAGAAATGAACACCTGCATTAGGAAATATCTAGATTAATGGTACAGCTCTAACCAATCACACCAGCAGACGCCCCCACCCATCAAGTTATATTATAAATCTATCATGAACACCAAATACAAGATAAATAAACGCACTGTGAAGGACATCATATCCAGAGGAGTATAAACCAGTTGACCATAACCAAAAGCTTGAACTCATAATCTACTATAAGACCAAAAAGACAGCAGACTTAATAATGAAGTATAGCCAGAACAAAACAAGCGACCCTCTCCAGAAAGCTAACATGGTATACTAATACACTTGCTCCCCATGAAGGATGTAACCTTCGGTCAACTTATATATGCATGATCATTTCCAATCCTTCAAGAATGTTGACTTGTTGCCTACAAGCAGGAGCTGCAAAAAAACCCATATGCAAACTAATCACGATGTGGCGCTCACTATGAAAATGCTTGAGGATCACACAGATATACTTGATTCTGCAACTGACGGCAAAAGATTATAAATTCTAGAGGCAATCCTCATGAAAGGTAAAGACCTAACTTCAACATACAAAACAACGACTCAGCATCATTACCAAAACTGAGACCTAGACCCCACCGAATGGAAGATGACATCATTCGCCAGTACCTGAGCTTCGGATTGACTTACCTAATCTATACCTCACCTCTCCCTGACTATATATATCTCCCTTACCATACATGCCAACACGGGAGACATTTCCTGTCACGCAGGAAATGTCTGCGAAATGTTGTTTTAAATTCAGCTATTACGCAGGCTACTCCAAGTAGTCCGTAGGTGGTAGACGTTTGGAGTGAATGTGACCTATGGTCGGGAAATGTCACCTCCACAGATCTCCAGTATCAAGCTCTTGATATTGGTAATGGCTCAAAAGGGCCACCACTTACGGGCTATTCATGCCCGTGCCACCTTTTGGGTGGCTTAATCTTCATCAATCAATCAATCATCTACATGCCAAACACTATATCTTACCTTAAAGTGTTCCAGGTAGGAATGAAATGTTGTGCATATAATACCTCATATAGTCCTTCTTGTCATGTTTTATTTTCGTAAAACCCGGACAGACCATGAATTTCGGTAATCTATTCACCCAACTCCAGGCTGATCCAAGGAAGATTGCCAAATGCATTGAATGCCTGTACAGTAAAATCTATAATAGTCACATAAAAAGGAAAAAGCTGTTCAAATCACTAAAGATTCCCGTGATTACTTATCACGATGAACGTAAAACTATCGAGAAATTGAATAACAAATTGATCATGCGATGGTTGTATATGGGATACTCAGGATTATCATAGTCATATAACTCTTATTGAATGATTGTCGTTCATAGAATGGGAATTCCTAAATGCTAATTTATTTTCTGTGGTACGTAAGCCATTCTGATATTCGTCGTTGTTGAGCGTAAGGAAAGAGAGAAGTTCACTGTTGACGTTGGTTCTCTAAGTGCTTCGCGTCAGCCGTTAGTATCAACAATGAAAGCGGCTCACGTGATAAGACGTCCCTGAAAAATACAGGATTTTGTTTAATATTCATTTTTATTTGCATGTAGAGGAGAGGGACGGGGGAGGGAGGTGGAGGAGACATATTAAGAGAGGTACACTTATTATGTGATAACTGGTGGGGGAGATTTTTATAGGTTTTGGTAGAGGGCAAACATACTCTTAAATTTTATGATATTTATCTAAGTCTTTCTTCTCAAACTTTCTGGCTTTTTTTCTCTCACTCCAGCCTCACTTCCATCTTCTTCCCCAACTCTTTATATCCGCTTACCATTGCCATTCACCCCTTTCGCATCACCGATTAAGTTTTTCTTTCTCAATCTATTTCCACTAATTTAAGTGAATACCCTCCTTGTCTATAACTACTATCATCCAGCCTCATTTCCCTTCTCTCTCTCTCTATCTATCTTTGATCATATCATCCATTCCCATTCCCCTTCCCTCTCATTCTATCTCCACCCGTATCATCCATCCTCATCCTACCATGTCTATCTCTACTCTATCTATCTTTGCTCATATCATCCATTCCCATCCCCCCTTCCCTCTCTGTCTATATCCACCCGTATCATCCATCCTCATCCTTCCATGTCTATCTCTACTCTTATCATCCATCATCATCCCTCTCTGTCTATCTTCATCACTAGCACCAATACTCGTCCCTCCCTTACTATATCCACCCCAACCCTCCATCATTATACCCCCTTCACCTTAGGTCCTTGACCACTGCAAGAGACCTTCGCTGCCTGTCCTGTGGGGGTACGGTGACGGTATATATAGCTGGGGCCCAGTTGGTTGGTCAGCATTCTCAACTGACTCTCACACCGACAACATGAAGCTTGTGAGTACTGGCCATGACTGCTGTCTTTAGTCTCAGTCTCTTCAGTCTGAGGCTAAAAGAGACTCTCTCAGAGAGAGAGAGAGAGAGCATGGAAAACGACTGTAACACCTGCGGCTTTGATCATCATTCTTTTTTCTGATTTATATCCGCATTATCGCTCTTGTGGGTGCCATTCTTGGATCTGTTAATTCACGATTTAAATTCTCATTAGGCTCAAAGCTACTATTATCTTCAACCACTCTTTCCCCTATTATTCCTGCTGGTCTGTGAGTCTCTCTTCATCTTTGTCTACGGCATTTTCTTGTATTCACGTCTGCCTTTGATTCAGCACTGCCTAGGCTCTCATCCTGTATACTCATACCGTGCCAGGCTTGTCAACAGCTGGCTGTGTGTCCTTACCCCCGGCGTTCCGGCCGATGTTTTCGCCAACAGTAAAAGTCATAATAGATTTCAATGATGCAATAACACAGCTTCTTGCTTTCTTTCTACGAGGGGAGGGCCGGAGGGGTGATAAGTAAAGAATTATCAAAGAAGGCGCCAAGCCAGAAAGAATATGTAGCACCAAGTAGGAGTGATAGGAATAGGCGGTGGGTGGGGAAGAAAAAGGGTAACGGGAGGAAGGTATGTGGGATGAGTATCTGGGGTCGGAGGACAGGAGGTAGCTGGGAGCAGACATTGAAGCAGATACTGCGTTGCTGCGTCTAACCATTCGCTCATCAAATGCGGCATCTATCAATTCATTCAGCCGCTTATTCAGCAGTTCGGTTATCTATACCCAATGCCGATATGCCCGCTTGTTCCTCCATCCGTCTTTCTATCACTTATTCTCCTTTTCCATTCAAATACCTTATTTAGACGTCTCGTATTTATTCTCATTTTCCCATGTTTCGAAGTTCGTGGTTTTTGCTTGATGCTACTTTCATGCTCGGCAAGTGTGGTGATATTGACGTCATAGTTAACACTATCACCATTCTTATTATAATAATCTAATCACTGTCAACGTCGTTTTTCAGATACTCTTCGCTTGCCTGGTCGTTCTGGCCGCCGCTCGCCCTGAACAGGACGCGGAAACAACGCTAGACGAGAGAGACGACTCCGGCGACGGTAACTTCAACTACAAGTTCGAGACCAGCAACGGCATCTACGAGGAGAGGACTGGCACCCTTGGGGCTGATGGCCAGAGCAACATAAATGGCGTCTTCAGGTAGGTCGCAGCACGAACGTTTTGATACTTCCTTTGGGTCAGAGACAGATTCTTGGTTACGAATCACACACTTGACCTGTTTGGTTAAGCAATGTGCTCCTTTGTTACACTGTTGGTCTTCAATCCCTCGATGTTTCAAGTGGTTGGACACCCTTCATTCACTTCGTACTCATATCCGATCCAAGTGATATATAATAATATTAGCTTTGAGTTTTCTCTAATAACCTTTTTTACCTCATGCTCGTCTTTCGTTAATTCCAATCATCGTTCCCACACAGGTTCACATTGCCTGACGGCACCGTAGGCGAGATCCGTTTCATCGCCGACGAGAACGGCTACCGACCCGAGTCGCCACTGATCCCCACGCCCCACCCCCTCCCAGCCCACGCAATCGAACAGATTCGCTTTGCTGAGGAGCAGCGCGCTAAGGGCGTCACCTTCGAAAAGTAATGTGGGAGGTGTGAGGCTGGCCCCCACTCATCCACTACCACTTCGATACACAGCTGACCCTTATCTCGTACCCTTTGCATACACACATGAGAAAAGATCTCCCTCAAGCACAATTTTTAGGGTGCATCCTTCGGCTCAGCAGTAGTCCAAACACAACCCTAATAGGATCACATGTATAGAAAAATAAACTTTTTTGCAGGCCTCTGTGTTTCTGTGGGGCAGTTCCTTTTGGCGATTTTAATGGTGCTTCAGCTTCACTCTATACTTATATTGTATAGGAAACTTTTATTAACTAGTAGCGAGTGTTAAGTAACAGCAACAATACAAATAATAATAATGATGAAACACAACATAATAAAGAAACAAATACCCGGTAATAATCATTATGAAATAAATAATAATGAGAAAACCAACTGGAGGTCTTAGGTGACTCGAACCTTTGACCAAGCGAATTCCAACCACTGACGTTGAGTGGACCACCATGACTTGGAAAAGTCATGTAACCCGTTCCTAAAGCCAGTCCGAGTTTAACATATGACCCTCAAGCACTCTGGTGTAGGCAACGTAATTCATCCCCTGTACGCTCCAAAATCAGATACACAGAAGGGAAGGGAAATATCAGAGGAATACGCCAAGCCATTACGACAATATAACACTGATTCAGTGCTAAGGTCAGGATTTGGGATGGGACAAGAGTGAGGGGGGGGGGGGGGAAGGAATTGTACCAACCACTTGGACGGTGGGTTAGCCGCTGATGCTAATGACATATATAGAGTGGTTAGCGTCAGCGACTGAGATTCTCTTTGGTCGCAGGTTCAAGTCACCTCAAAGCTGCAGGGGATTTTTTCATTGGTATATATCACAATAATGTGTTTGGGGGGTCATGAGGTTTATATATTTCAGGATAGTGCATTTTATTTGTTTTAAATAATAATAATGAAACAAATATTAGGAATTCTCATGAAACAAAATATAAAAATGAACAATTAATGCTAATAATACAAATGAAATAAATAATAATAATAATAATAAAACAAATAATAATAATAATAATGAAACAAATAACAATAAAAATAATGAAACAAATAATAATGATGATGAAACAAATAAACAAATAATAATATTAATCATGATGGACCAAATTTGTGCATTCCTCGTGGGGCAGTGATAATAAACTCTCATGGCGCTTTACGAACGTTTTGGCTTGGTTTTGTATCCTGCCCAGGCAAGAATGACAGGGTGTCAGTCCTTAAGTTTAGCCTCTGTTCACCCAGCAGTGAATAGGTACCTGGTTGTTAAACAATTTGGCGGGTCGTATTCCAAGAAAAAAATTAGATTAAGGAACAGCCCGAAACGCTATGCGTCCTAGTGGCTTTACAAAAAGTAACAATTCTTATATATATAAATAAATACAAAATAGTAATAATAATTAAATGAATAATAATAATTAAATAATCACGATGAAACTATTAATTATAATAATGAAACATAAATAATATTAATCATAATCAAACAAATAATGGTAATAATAATAAAATCAATAATAATATTAATGAAACAAATAATAATAATAATGAAATAAATAATAATAACGACGAAACAATAACGATACCCAGAGAACTCATACTAACTTGACATATATCAGTGAGAAAATCAACTAGAGTTCTGAGGTGATTCGAATCTGGAACCAAGAGAATCCTGTAGGTGTCAGTGGCGGGGATTCTCTAGGTCGCGGGTTCTGGTCACCTCAGAGTTCCAGTTGATTTTGTCAAAAATAATGATGAAACAAATAATAATAATGATGAAACAAACAATAGTGATGAAACATATATTAATAATTGATGAAACAAATAATAATAGAGAATAACAACATTCGTTAATTCAGTAGGAGTTAATGAGAAGATTCGCTGCACACTGGGTACTCCAAAGCACACACACTAGGTCTAATATCGTGGCTACGAATGCAATGTAACCTGGAATTCATCTGAATCCTTTAGGTTTCCTGAGGCATCTTCTCATACAAAGTCAGTGTTTTAAACATTACATCCGTACACTCAAGCTGTGGTATAGGAATTCTACCCTCAACACTTTTCTTCGAATGTACCAATAATTCACATTAACGTGACGTAGCAATGAGAAAATCAGTAGGATGCCATCCTACACACTGGGTACTGCCAAGATCTCTTTACCGTACGCTAATACTAATATCGTCATAAGAGCAAGTTACTATGTCCCGAGCGGGACAAATGGTTGACGTATTTCCTGTTACCTAATGGCCTGTTCACAGAGCAGTAAATGCTTATCTTTGAGTTAGTCAGCATATTGAAAAGTTGCATCATGGGGAGGGATGCATTTTGCATGAATTGGCAAAAACATGCCAAATTTCAGTCTCCAGACACTATCTTCACTAAGATTCATCAGGTAAGTTATTTTCTACGTGATTAATTAAATGTTTGGAGCTCTCATAACCATGAAAAACCATACTGAAGAAAAATGCTTAATACATGTAAAATAAATAGAAGTTTACCACAGATTTTTTTATCAAAACAGTGTGAAATGTTGATGGTTACAGTGATGATAATCGTGTGTAGTGTAGATAGCTATAATGATGATAGTCATACATATTAGAGATGGTCACAGTGATGATGGTGTAGATGGTTACAATGATGATAGCCGTGTGCAGCAAAGATGGTTACAGTGATGATGGTCGAGTGTAGTAAAGATAGCTACAGTGATGATAGTCGTGTGTAGTGATGAAAGTCGTGTTGCGTAGATTTTTATAGTGATGATGGTCGTGTGTAGTTTAGATGGTTTTAGTGATGATGATCGTGTGCAGCGAAGATGGATACAGTGATGATCGTCGTGTGTAATGATGATGGTCTTGTGTAGTGAAGATGGTTACAGTGATGATGGTCGTGTGTAGTGATGATGGTCGTGTGTAGTGATGATGGTCGTGTGTAGTGAAGATGGTTACAGTGATGATGGTCGTGTGTAGTGATGATGGTCGTGTGTAGTGAAGATGGTTACAGTGATGATGGTCGTGTGTAGTGATGAGGGTCGTGAATAGTGAAGATGGTTACAGTGATGATGGTCGTGTGTAGTCTAGATGGTTATAGTGATTGTCGTGTGCAGCGAAGATGGTTACACTGATGACAGTCGTGTGTAGTGAAGTGGCTACGGTGATGATGGTCCTGTATAGTGAAGATGATTTCAGTGATGATAGTCATGTGTAGCGAAGATTGTTACAGTAATGATGGTCGTGTGCAATGAAGATGGCTACAGGTATGTTGGTGGTGCATAATGAAGATTGCTACAATGATGATGGTCGTTTATAGTGAAGATGTTGACCATGATGAAGACACAAGTTACCGTTTCGAAATAAAAATTGCAAGGACGGAGCAGCAGAGTTCTTGATAGCAATTATAAGAGGATTGCTACACAGGAGCTTAGGATTAATTCAAAGGATTGATACCCAGGAGTGAAGGATTCATACCTAGAAGCTAATAATTAATACTAATGAGCCAAGGATTAATACCAAGAAGCTATGAATTGAAGCCCAGGAGCGAAGGATTCATACCCCAGGAACCAAACGCTACACATACTAGTTGCTGTACAGGAATGTAAGAACTCTTGTGTATATAAATAAGTAAATAAATAAATAAAACGGGTTCATACCCATGAACCTAGGATTTATACCCAGGGACCAATGATTCATATCCAGTAACCCAAGAACTGATTCCCAGGAGCAAATCACTGACAATCGTGGATTCACAAATGTAGGTAAACAAGGGTAGCTGAAAAAGATAGTTCCTTTAATTTTTTAAATTAGAACGCTGATATAATATGGAAGGTGAGAGTTGTAAGGAGAAGCCGTTCGTATCACAAAAAACTCCGGTAATTACTATTCACGAGGAAAGTCAAACTATCGGGAAATTGAATAACAAACTGATCATGCGATGGGTGTGTATGGGATACACAAAATTCTCATAGTCATATAATTCTCTTATTGAATGCCTGTCGTTCCTAGAATAGGAATTCTTAACTGCTACCTTCTTTTCTGTGGTACGTAAGTCATTCTGATATTCGTTGTTGTTGAGCGTAAGGAGAGAGAGAAATTCACTGTTGACGTTGGCTCTCCGAGTGCTTCGCGTCAGGCGTTAGTATCAATAATAAAAGCCGCTCATGTGGTCAGACGTCCCTGAAAATTCAGGATTTTGTCTAATAATAATTTTTATTTACATGTAAAAGAGGGGGGACAGGGGATGGGAAAAGGAGAGAGAGGTGGGGAAGAAATTAAGAAAGGTACATGTATTATGTGATTGCAGCTGGGGAGATTTTTATAGGTTTTGGTGTAGGGCGAACATACTCGTAAATTTGTATGATATGTATCTAAATGTTTCCTCTAAAACATTCGTTTTTTTTCCTCTCCCTCCAGCCTCACTTCCATCTTCTTCTCCAACTCCACTTACCTTTACCATTCACTCCTTTCACATCACCTACTTAAGTTTTTCTTTCTCGATCTATTTCCACTCATTTAAGTAACTCCCCTTCATGTTTATCACTACTCCTATTATCCATTCTGGTCTCCCTTCCCCTCTTTGCTCATATCATTCATTCCCATCCTCCTTCCTTCTCAGTCTATCTCGACCTGAATCATCCATCATCATCCTTCCATGTCTGTATCTATCTACTCTTATCATCTATCATCATCCATCTCTGTCTATCTCCATTCGTACCAATCATCCACGGTGTTCTCAACGTGGTATGGCCGTTGGCATCCTCGCCCCTCCCTCATTATATTCACTCAAACCCTCTATCTTCATACCCCCTTCACCTTAGGTCCTTGACAACTGCAGGAGACCTTCGTTGCTTGTCCTTTGGGGGTACGGTGAGGGTATATATAGCTGGGGCCCTGTAGGTTGGTCAGCATTCTCAACTGACTCTCACACCGACAACATGAAGCTTGTGAGTACTGGGCATGATTGTTGTCGCTAGCTTCAGTCTCTTCAGTCTGAGGCTGAAGTCTCTCTCTCTGAGAGAGAGAGAGAGAGAGAGAGAGAGAGAGAGAGAGAGAGAGAGAGAGAGAGAGAGAGAGAGAGAGAGAGAGAGAGAGAGAGAGAGAGAGAGAGAGAGAGAGAGAGAGAGAGAGAGAGAGAGAGAGAGAGAGAGAGAGAGAGAGAGAGAGAGAGAGAGAGAGAGAG